TGTCGAGTGAGGATGAAGGGCTGGAGGAGCTCTTGGAACAGCCCTCCACTCCGGACACGTTTGAGGCAGCTAAGGACCTCATCGCATTGTCCGTCGAGGCCCCGGCACGCGCTGAGGACGCTCCGCCGAAGCTGCCGCACAGAGGCAAGCCGGCGATGGTGCGCCCGTCATGATCGCCGTCTCGGCACCGTTTCGGGAACCGGTCCCGGTCGAGCTCCGCTTCGGTGGACTCCCGGTTACCCTCAGCGCAGGAAGCACCGCAGCAGTCGGGCTTCAACAAGCGGTCGGCACCGACTCAGCAACCCAACACGAGTCGGCACCGCGAAATGTCGGCGGTAGGTTACCCGAGGCCGACCAGCCGTAGCCGGTCCCGGTCCCGCGACCACCGGTACCATTCCAGGTCCAGATCGGCGAGACGCTATTCCAGATCCTGGTCGCGGAGGCGCTACTCCCCAAACCCGGACCGGCACCGTCCTATGGCTCCGCCGTGGCCTTCCAGGTCACCGTCCGTGGTCTCAGGGACTGACTCGGACCGGTACGGCGGATATGGCCATAGGTCGCAGGCCAGCAGGGACTATAGCCATTCTCAATGGGGCCAGCCGAGCCAATGGCCTTTCTGGACACCCTGGGCCTACCACCAGCAAGGGCCCCCATCGAGGGCCTCGAGATCCAGGCCACCGGGGTACCGATCCCGCTCCCCACGGCACCGCCCGCCATCGCATAAGGAGGCAACGGTCTCTAGACCTCCGGAGCGGGAAGGAGTGGACTCGGCACAGAGTACGGTACTGTCCCAGTCCCACACTGCGGGTCAGGCCCCAGAAGAGCAACTGGTCGATGCCGGGTTGCAGGACACTGAGGAGGGGCAGAAGGCTCCGACCTCTTCCTCCTCGCTAGATGAGGCAGTAGCGGGCAACATGGTGTCCGGCCCTCCCCCGATTGACCATCGGGCACACCAAGACCTGCTTCGCAGGGTAGCCCTCAATCTGGGCTTGCAAGCGGAGGAGACCGTAGAACAGGAAGACCCCATGGTCGATATCCTGAGCCCAGAGGGCCTCTCCAGAGTCGCTCTCCCGATCATACGGACAGTACAGTCCAACTGTAAGACGGTGTGGCAGACGCCGGCCTCCAGTGCACCGACTGCAAGAGGCGTGGAGAGGAAATACTTCGCCCCATCTAGAGGGTTCGACTTCCTCTTTTTGCACCCGTCCCCTTGTTCGCTAGTGGTCTCAGCGGTCAACGAGAGAGAGCGTCGTGGCCAGCAAGCTCCGGCCCCCAAGGGCAAGGAAGCTAAGCGACTGGACTTGTTCGGGAGGAAAGTCTATTCCTCTGGGGGCCTTCAACTAAGGATCGCCAATCAGCAGGCGATTCTGAA